TCTATCTATCTATCTATCTATCTATCTATCTATCTATCTATCTATCTGTTTTAAGAAGAGCGGAATAAATATATTGCATTCTATATTTCACCATCTTGGCTCTAAAATTAACTAAATGTTTTTATGTATACACTGCGTTAACCTGGGTATTGGGAAATTATTTAATTCAAGCTGGGATTTCAGTCTTGGAAATAAACACAGAGAGCAACTTGCAAAAGAATAGCAGCCAGCCTTGCGTTTTCTAATAAAATAATGTTATACTCACTCTGTAGAAATGTAAGTAATACTTGCAATAAATCGAAAAGTCATTATTTCTAACCGAAGTTATTATTATGTATGAAAGCGAAATCACAGTGGATGTGGCCCGCTACTGCTCATGCAATATGCAGAAAATGAAAACTTTCCTTACGCAACAGTAGAAAAAGTTGGCCGTTTTCTTTCAATAATACAAATCTTTTGCAAGAGAACAAATAGTTTTCAAAGGTTATTCGTAAAAATAAATCAACTATCGTAACTAATTTATTTTAATTATTAAAAGTAAAAGTATGAGAGTAAAAGATGACACATCATCGGTAGCAGTAGGTGTAATACCGTTCTGATGGTTGTTGCTTTGAATCACGTGATAGATGATATGGTTCTCAGATATCACGTGATAACATAGATGGCAGTAGGTATATGGCCATTCTGATGTTGCATATTGTTGCTTTGAATCACGTGATAGATTATATGGTTGTCAGATATCACGTGATATCATAGATGGCAGTAGGCATATGGCCATTCTGATGTTGCATATTGTTGCTTTGAATCACGTGATAGATGATATGGTTCTCAGATATCACGTGATATCATAGATGGCAGTAGGTATATGGCCATTCTGATTTTGTATATCGTTGCTTTGAATCACGTGATAGATTATATGGTTCTCAGATATCACGTGATAAATTGGAAGTTTTCATTGCGGAAGGAGAAACATTTTCATATTATTTTTGATATAGTCTCGAAATTCGGATGTCATGTAGCATGATGTTTCGATTAATTGTCAATTGCGTGGATACTTGCTTTCATTAGTTATGTATACCTGGGAGATGTTCAAAATTATCATTATCAGGAGAACACAGCCGTTCAAATTTAAGTAGACTTATTTCAAATTCGCCCACCTCAGTCTAAATCTCACCCACACATACACAGACATACGCATACACACAAACAAACAGCCACAGGCACAGAAACACACTCACCCCACCACACACACATTAAAGTACAAGAACTAATATTGCCAGTACATTTAGAGATTGTATCGTTTAGTTTCTGTAGGCATCATCTTATTTGCTTATCAATCATGTAGTTAGAAAATTTATTGTTAATTCATGCTTGCTTTATACGAATGATATAATTAAGAATATTTATCTGTTGAAGGATATCATTAAAAGTATTAATCTCTCTCGGCCATCCTATGATTACTAGACACAATTTCTACACGATAACCGTTATAATCCGAACATGGAAAAGCATTTACAACGAAACCCTTAAAAATGACGCGTGAATTGTCCGAAAGCGCTTTGGTCAAGAGCCATCATAGATATTTCCTGCACTCCTTTAGTAGGTATATATATATATATATATATATATATATATATATATATATATATATGTATATATAGGATTGGTGTATACGGAATAAATTCCAATAACCAACTATTCTTAATAACTATTCTATACTTAAAAGAGTGCTCAATATAAAGTAGAACAAATATTATTATTTATTCGAAAATTATAACATAAATATGTTATAAAATCACTACAAAAATAGCCATTTTGTTTCAACACGTCTGCTGTCTTATCAAGTGATGGTGTTTAATGTAGAATATGTTGAATATATCGCATTATCAGAAACATCTTGAAATTCGAGAGGGCCTACATATCAAGCAATTCTCTCCTACCATCAACCTTACATTATTTAATAGTTGGAATGGAGTGTTGAAAGTTTTTTTTTTTAAAGAAAAAATAGAAAGATGCTCAAGTGAATTCCAGTCACGATTGTCATGTGAAAGTTTGTAACGAACGCTCCTTTTTTAAAACAAAAAAACAAAAAACAAAACAAAAAAAAACAAACAAAACAAAAAACAAAAACAACAGAAATATGATTTACAACGTAACAGTCAAAAGATGAGGGGAAATAATGGAACTAGAGGTAAAGCAACATTAATAATTGCTAAAGAAGTGACCCAAAGCGCTTGGGACAATAAAAACTATAAATAATTTTTATAGTTTTTATTGGAATTTAAGTGCTACAAAACTGAAAAGGAATTTAAGTGCTACAAAACTGAAAAGGAATTTAAGTGCTACAAAACTGAAAAAATTTAGAAGGTTGGAATATATATATATATATATATATATATATATATATACATTAACAGCGTCTAAGATTTTGAATGAAACCTACCCTCGTGAAATGTAATTTATCAGGGTTTTTGTAGCTTCTTCCTTTAATGTCGGTCCTCTCCCCCACCCTTTACCCACCTATATCTAGAGACAATACGCGTTATCCGACACACAGTGGGGTTAAGAATTAGGAATTGAAATGGTACATCTAACCCACTCATATCTTCTCTCCCACCATACTTTCTCACTTCGTTAATTTTACATATGCTTGATGCGGTCCGTCAAAAACGTGTGAATTTCTTTTCATTTTTCATTTCAACCTTTGGAAGTAAAGTCTGATGATCCAGAGCCCTGTTAAAGGGGTTATGGTGAAATAACTTATTACATGAAACCTTAAAGTGGTTTGTTTTTTTATTCAATATATATATATATATATATATATATATATATATATGTATAATAATTTATTCGGAAATTATAACATTATATATATAACATATATATATAACTTATATAATATATATATATAACTTATATAACATACATATATAACATATATATATATATAATATATATATATGACATGTATAACATATATATATAACATATATATAACATATATAACATGACATAACATATATGCATATATATATATATATATATATAACCTATATAACATATATATAACATATATAACATATGACATATATAATATATATATAACATATATAACACATATATGTATAACAGATATAACATATATATATAACATATATATATAACATCAAATTTTTAGATAGAGTATATCTGTAAAGGAACAAAATGAATAAAAAGAAAAAACTATTCTCAACCGATGCGTTTCCGTCCTCTGAGAGATTTTATCAAGGCAACGTAGAACTTATTTTGTTCCATTTATTTATGTACAAGACCAATGATGCCATTTGTTCGTCAAGGCTTTTAAATTTGAGAACGGTCATTAATATTCATGAGGCGGTTGAAAGGTCAGTCAAAAACATATGGAGGACACATGTGCCACAATTCAATGTCCAGTACGACAAATGTAAGCGAGTATTATTCAATAATATATTTTTCATTTTTTAATAAATGAATATTGTTTAAATTTTTCTCAGAATATTCTTGTTTGGAACGGACCTATATGACACATTTTCCTTCTGAATAAATCACTTTCCCTTTGGATAAGCGTGGCATCTTTTTTTAGATCAAAATTTTCGCAGAATTTATTTCTGTGTATGACTATAGCATTTTATAAATCGTTATATATGATGTCCCTTCTTTGTTCATAGATACGTTTTTATAAATTTTTGCATGTTTCCTCAATGGATTGTGAGGAACAGTTTTGACAATTTAATTTATATATTACTGCTTCTGAATTATTTTTGTTATGCCTATTTTTAGTTTCGATCTTATCCATAATGATTTTGAAAGTGATTGTGACTATTTGGATGTTTTTTAGATGGGAAAATTTATTTTGGATAGTGGATGTTATGGTGTTTTTAGGTAATGTTATGTCTCTGTTTCTGTCTAAGTTGTTCTTGTGGATAATGTTGGGGATAATGTTGTTATATTTGTTGCAGTCGTGTATTTTGTATGCTTTTCTATTTGCGTTGTGCATGAAGTGATGAACGAAAGACAATGAGAATTTAAAATTTTGATTTTTTTTTCTTTTTAAATCAGTTCTGAGTCTGTAACCAAATTTCATTTAGATCCTTTCTTTTTGTTTCCATCATCTTTGTTATTAAATATTCCCCATTGTGATAACAGAAGGTCTGCCAAGAATGGTGAAACGTTCTATGTACATGGACGCAAATTTACTGTGGATGAACGAGCGATTAAATTGGCTACATTATATACCCAAAAGGCATTAAAAATTATATATATATATATATATATATATATATATATATATATATATATATATATATATATATATTAAAAGAAGAGGGTGCCGCAAACGTTTTTGGTTGTAATGTGGATTTATTGAGAAAAATATTATACTTTGTTTTACATAATTTCACGACACGTGTTTCTGGTCTGGTCTCGCAACCGTCTTCAGGTGAAAGTGGAGATTTTTACATATTATTAAAAATAATTAATTTTTCTTCATGTTCAATGTGGAATATTCTCGATATGAGACATTCTGTTTGTGTGTTGGCAATCCGAATTTTCTTTCTAGAATTGTCAATGATTAAGTTCATATGTGCCGTGTAGAAGTCTTTAGAAGACGCCATGATCTGTGATTATATTGCAATTCTTAAGCAACGTTAGACTAAGTGCATTGATGTCAAGTGGGACTATACTGAAAAATAGTGAAAAACATTTTGTTTCTCCAACTCCTTCTGGATGAGGATTAGAACTTTTTGAACGACCCTCGTACTAAAAAAACCCCAAAAAAACAAAAACAAGAAGAGATTTAGCAACAATAAGAACATTAAGTCTTGCAAGAGGATTCACTAGAAATACACATGTAAGACATCTAAGAACATGAATAAAAGATTATGTGAGCATAAAGGTGATGTTTTACAAAATAATACATTCAATGTATTTACTGTCCATGGTAATAGGATTGACTTGAAGAATGCAGAATATTTTTAAAAGTAATGTATCTATCTATCTATGCCTGCTCACAATCTATCTATCTATCTATCTATCTATCTATCTATCTATCTATCTATCTATCTATCTATCTATCTATGCCTGCTCACAATCTATCTATCTATCTATCTATCTATCTATCTATCTATCTATCTATCTATCTATCTATGCCTGCTCGCAATCTATCTATCTATCTATCTATCTATCTATCTATCTATCTATGCCTGCTCACAATCTATCTATCTATCTATCTATCTATCTATCTATCTATGCCTGCTCACGATCTATCTATCTATCTATCTATCTATCTATCTATCTATCTATCTATCTATCTATCTATCTATCTACGCCTGCTCACAATCTATCTATCTATCTATCTCAGCTCATACATATTTAAGTAGCTATCTTTCTAGACAGCAATTACTGAATATATAAACAGCACTATAAATGAAGTCATAGAGCGTTTTTAAATGTTTTGAACAGAAATGAGAATAGGTGGGCAGGTTCACCTGTTTCAGATTCACAATGTCTGGTATGACGTCGTCTTCATCTTGAGTTTAACAATTATAAGTTAGAAGGTATCAGGTTGAAGCAACGATTCATTCGAGACATATTATGTACATTTAGGAAATCTAGAAACTTTCTCATCTATTTATTGCCTATACAATCAGCCCACTCATTGATAAGCTTTCGGCAACATTCAGAAGCTAAGAAAGTTCCATATGATGAATCTATCGAAATGAACGTCACCTTAGTAAATTTCTTTTTATGATTTTTATTTCTTGATGTTCAGAGATAAATATTATTTTCTTTTTGGAATTTTTATGAGAATTCAAAATGAAGAAAACCGTGGCTAAATCCATGACGGAGTTGAAAATCTCAAATCAAAATAGAATAGTTATAGCGAACCTGTCATCCTTTTGGTGGAATTTCAAAGCAATTCTTTATTTCAAATATCTGAAACTAAGTGAGCAACTGGCATATTTGAATGACGTATTGGAAGATAAAATGATTTTTTTTTTGTTAAGAAGTTAACCAGTTGTTTAATGCATTGCTATTGCCTTTCCGTCGTTGCAGCCATGGCGCAGAAAAGGATAACGAATCAGAAAAATCTTTGTGGGTGCGGTTTATTCAAGACCAATCATATTATCTCTTGTTTCTACCATCAAATTTATATATATATATATATATATATATATATATATAAGCAAATATATGGATATAGATCCGACAGTATGAAGAAAAATATACAGAAAAAACAAACAAAAAATTTCAGTTATCTGTTTGGATTGGTATTGCTTTTATGTCCATCGTCTTTTTCATGTTGAATTATATATGGTCTATGTTAATTATGTTTTATGAATATGTCCTGAAGATGGTCTATTAGACCGAAACGTCCGACGTTGCCATTAAACATTAAAACAGCATAATCGCATATTAGGATTTTTGTTTGTTTTTCCAGTATATTTTTCTTCATATATATATATATATATATATATATATATATATATATATATATATATATATATATATATAAGTTTAAAACATCGAAAAAGTAGGCGTATCGTTCTTCCAATCAAACTTGATGTTATTCTTTTATAATGGCTGTACACTTAGGTTCAGAGTTGAAGTGAGGTCGGTAAAAAGCAGGGAAATATTTTCACGATTGAATAATGTTGCACCAATCTCATAATTATGCATGGCATTAATCTTTTTTTCTTTTCTTTCTTAATCAATAGTTTGTCATTGGATTTCGCTGTTATTGACATCCAGGAAAGAACACATTACTTTTGCTCAATGCCTAATACAATGTGATTATCTTCACAAGGTTTCTGTCGTTTCATCCTGCAACGTGACCCATCGCCTCCAGAGTTAATCTCTTCACCGATCTCTGCATATTACAAAAAACAAGCTAAACTTTTTGAAGATTGTCCGAACGATCTCTCTCAGCGCCAGACATTGAATTCTTATTTATTTTCGATAGGAAAAAGTTTTTGAGGCGGATAAATATCTGATGCCAAGGATTGTGTACATTTTTCAAATCACTCAATTAGCAATTCAATCATCAATAATGTCCATTGAATCTTCTTCCAGTGACTCATGAGTAAGCCCCAAATTTATCAGATTGTCTAAATAGCAAAGTGTAGAACCGAAGACAAAAAAGTTCAAGATTTATAATCACTGCCATTTGTACTGTGAGACAAAACACAACATTTGGTTGAGGGATAACTTTAGTGACTAAGTATAGGTTAAGAAAGAAATCACCCAGTCTCTGCAGCTGGTGCTATAAAGTCACCCGTTTATTGTTATTAAAATATTCGCAAAAATAAAGATTATTTTCTTACAATACAAGTTTCGATTTTAAATAACCCATAAAAGGGTTGATAAGCCGTAAAAAACGAATCAATCAATTATACTTCATCGCCCCTAAGTGCGAAACTTGATCATTCCCGGTCAAATCTCTTGGATTGATCAAAGATGCCTGTGTGATAATCAATCATATCTATCTATCTATCTATCTATCTATCTATCTATATATATATATATATATATATATATATATATATATATATATATATATATATATATATATATATATATATATATATATATATATATATATATATATATATATATATATATATATATATATATACACGTTTTTTTGTGTGTAATAATTGTGTGCAAAATAACGATAACCTGCCGGGTGCCGTGCAAACTTGGTCCTGTTGATGCATACTGATATCGCCATTGAACAGGGTTCGTATATATAATACGCCAAATATATTTGTTCATTTTTAGAAATACATTTTAAACTTGAATAATTATAATTAAAAAAAACAAAAAAAAACGAAAACAACAACAGAGGGGAACAAAAAATAAATTAAAAAAAAAATAAATCTGATGATAAGAAATAATTAGATTCTGGAATTACATATTGAATACACAGACTTTCAAGGATTACTCAGACCATCCAAAAGTTTACACAAAATATTTTGCTTTGGGAAATTTTGCAGCAAACATAATTTCTGTTGTAAATTTGTAAAATTTACGAAGATAATAAACGGATAACTTTCCATATGTGTTTATAAATTGTACTCTGTTCGATTATTAATGTTAACAACGAACTATTTTAAATTACAATATTTTACATAGATTAACCTAAAATTACTTACAATATAATACATATTACTTATAATACATTCCTTCTTGCCGCGAATTTTGACGGTACGAGGATACTAGTTTTATTATAATAACCCACGGAGTAGATATTTAGTTTAACTAATCGATATAAAACTTTATTCTTTTCATAATTAACTTTGCTTTTTTCTCTTGCTTTCTTATCCAGATAAATCAAATTTATATGTCATTTATTTTATGACTTATGTTGTCATTATTATAATCAACTTTGAATCTATGAAATATTCAATAAAATATTGCGAAGGATTCCTTATTGTAGAGAAATATACATTGTCCATGTAGACAAATCTTTTGCCATCACCCATCCGTTTTTACCTATGCACCTTGTAAAAATAATAGCAGGACTAATTCAAAAGGAAACAACACAAAAGACACATTCTAAAACTAAATAGTAGTTGTAATTAAGTATTAGTAGAACCTGTGATAGCAACAGGGTTTGATTATTGCAGGGTTATTGTATTTCAAAACCTTGATTAAAAATCTGTCAGTTGACAGGTTCAGAACCTTAAGCTCCGTGGAGGATTATCATTTCTTCGAGAAGGTTAATCCGAATCGTTTCCATAGAATTCAGGTTCAGTTTCTTGTTTAACAGCGTTTGTGCTTTAATTAAAAAAGAAAATTCCATGGGTGAGAGATGGGATAGCTTGCTTAGTGGCTAAGATAGCTTGCTTGGTAGATAAGATAGCTTGCTTAGTAGATAAGATAGCTTGCTTAGTAGATAAGATAGCTTGCTTAAAAGATAGCTTGCTTTTAGTGTAGATAAGATAGCTTGATAGTTTTTAGTGGCTAAGATTGCTTAGTGGCTAAGATAGCTTGCTTAGATAGCTTGCTTAGTGGCTAAGATAGCTTGCTTAGTGGCTAAGATAGCTTGGTTGGTAGATAAGATAGCTTGCTTAGTAGATAAGATAGCTTGCTTAGTAGATAAGATAGCTTGCTTAGTGGCTAAGATAGCTTGCTTGGTAGATGAGATAGCTTGCTTAGTAGATAAGATAGCTTGCTTAGTAGATAAGATAGCTTGCTTAGTGGCTACGATAGCTTGCTTGGTAGATGAGATAGCTTGTTTTGGCTAAGTGGCTAGAAGATAGCTTGTTTAGTGGTAGATGAGATAGCTTGCTTAGTGGCTAAGATAGCTTGCTTAGTAGATAAGATAGCTTGCTTAGTGGCTAAGATAGCTTGCTTAGTAGATAAGATAGCTTGCTTAGTGGCTACGATAGCTTGCTTGGTAGATGAGATAGCTTGCTTAGTGGCTAAGATAGCTTGCTTAGTAGATAAGATAGCTTGCTTAGTGGCTAAGATAGCTTGCTTAGTAGATAAGATAGCTTGCTTAGTGGCTAAGATAGCTTGCTTAGTGGCTAAGATAGCTTGCTTAGTAGATAAGATAGCTTGCTTAGTGGCTAAGATAGCTTGCTTAGTGGCTAAGATAGCTTGCTTAGTAGATAAGATAGCTTGCTTAGTGGCTAAGATAGCTTGCTTAGTAGATAAGACAGGTGTTTATTTAAGTCCCTGCCAGTGATCAGTGTTAAAAAACAAAAAACAAAAAAAAAAAACCCCAAAAAACAACCCCCCCCCAAAAAAAAAACAATTTTAAGACTGATTTTCTGGGAAGTCACGTAAGCAAGACCTCTGTAATTAGAAGATAATTTTTGTAATTATCCAACCTTTCCTCCTGAAAAGTGACCATATAGATTTTTCTTCCTTAATTCTCCATTCGTTAACCGTGGGTAATATGTTCCAAGGTACCTCTAGTGGAAGTCCTGGGCATGACGATAAATTACACCCGGCAGCAAGGCCGCTGATCGGGACATTGGAGATTTTGAAGAACGTGAAATCTCTTAATTGTTGTTGTTGCCATTTTCATCCTGACCCCCGTGTTGGAGCACCTGTTAAGGCACCAGTTATGGACAAATAGTGAAACCCAACCCAACCTCTATGAAATTATGAAAATACATTTTGTAGTAAAAATACCAGGAATACATTTTTATTTAAAAATAACCATTACATATTTATAGTAAAATGACCAACAATACATTTTTTAAAGGAAAGTGACTAGCAATTCATTTTATCGCTAGTTGAAATCATACACTTGGATTCAAAACATATTTAGTTGAAGGCATAAAATTGTGTTCAAAATATTTAAATTTCGGCATTAATAACCCATAAAGGTGTTGGTATGTCACTAAACAAAATCAACAACAGTGTATAATCGAAAGTAGATAGTACCAAACCCACTATATACAAATATTCCCTGCGCCGAATAGGTTTCAAGGCATCCAACAGTTGCCTAAAAACCTGGTTAGAATCGAAACCCAAATATACTGTTTCCTTATACAAATTCATAGTAAAGTTAATTTATGAATTATACACAGTCAGGGATAGACAACAACATATAATAAAATAGAACCATTATATAAGTAATTAATTATAATTTAAGTAATTATAAAATAATTAAATGCTGTAATAAAAGCTAAGTGTCAGAAAAGGTAGATGTTAGCAACCCTAGCTTACGACTTTTTTTCTCATATTATTAAATCGAGAATGTTAACTTTTTCACTTAAAGGAAAAACTTTATGCTTTCTCTCATTTCATATCTGAATTGCCAATCAAAAGAAACAAACAAAAAATTTATTTGATTACTAGTAAGTGAAAATGGCAAAAGCCAAACCGTGTATAAGTCGGTATTAGTAAACGTTTTGATAATGTTCAATGATGCTAGCCTCAATGTCTATCATTATTTTTACCCATGCTTCCTTTTCGTTTATTCCTTTGTCTGACTTGGACAAATCTTTATAATAACAGAATTGATACTGAATTCACTGTTGACTTACATTTGATCTCGGAAAGGTTCTGAAGCAAGTTGATCGGGGTGAATCTAGATTAACAAATCTTACCATAGTGAATATTCGAATAGCACTGACAGTAATTATAATCTACATGGAATATTGTAGAAAGAGAAACACCCACTTTATGCAAGACTGGAAGAGCGTGTCGGGGAGAGGGAATGTGTTTCTGGAAAGAACGTTTTACAAAACACATAAATCTTTAACTTTTTCCGATTTCGTTCTTTCTTTTTTGTAGTTATTTTTTTTTACAATTACTCGTTAAGTCTTTTATCTTCGTCTTCTTTATTCATTTCTTTCTTTCTTTCTTTGATTCTGTCTTTCTTTCTTTCTTTGATTCTTTCTTTCTTTCTTTCTTTCTTTCTTTCTTTCTTTCCGTTACATCCTTTCCAACCCACATCCTGTCATCCAGTCAGTGATATTGACATTTATTAGGCGGTAGCTCAGTTCGCCTTACAAATTCCATGCCAGTGTTAAACATTCAGAGGCTGGACATCAGTATACAGCGATCACTTTCACTTGAAAGCAGGTTTTTTTTTTTTTTTTTGGTTCCTTGCAGAATTCTTCACAGACGCCAGTAAAAAGAAAGTCATTCAGGCTGAGGATTTGGACAGGAACGGCTTTTCGGACAAGATTTGATATAAATGCCTACATTGGCTTGGCACACGACTTTATTGATCTTCCGAACAAACATAAAATCTCCGATCGCATCACATCAAGTATTCTCTACATGAAAACCATCACAGAAAGACTTAAATTAACGTTTGACTAGGCTTAATGATTATGAGTTCGCTAAATTAGCGAGAATAGAATGTCGGTTTGGTAAAAAATGGAATCTAAATTCGATTCTCGCTAAAGGCACTAGAAATTCCGAATTCAGATTATCTAACTTTAAAATACGTATTAATTGTGTGAATATTGCGAATTGTCCAGTCGATAGTTTTTGAGATATTGCTAGGGTAGATTTTATCATTTTTTGCTTTTCAAATAGTAACTCGTATGACATTATTACTTTCGGTAAGCAAAAGTTGCAATTAAAGACAACGATTTCAAAATTCCAGCAAACGCTCGTCGAAGAATTGAATTATTTAGCAAAGGGTTTAAACAAGATCAAAGTGAAGAGCTAGAGATGAAATTCTTTCCTAATAGATTATAGAAAATTGCACCTCTATTGATGAGAATGAAAACTATCAAATAGGTACTTCAAATAAATCACTAAAAAGGTCCTAAACTTGATAAATACAAAGGTTTATCGTGAAAATGTTTATGTTATTATTAAGAGGAAAGAACAAAGTATTTTTTTTATTAGTTTTTTAGATTTTTAATCTTTTTAGCACGTTCGAAATTTTGGTTAAAAATTTTGTTTTTCTTGCCTCAGCGGGTGGACCAAAGATTAGTATCGGAAATTTACCGTCTTTTTTTAGGTAAAAAATACATTGTTGTAGAAATTCTTGCAAAAATCAAATAATTTTAGGATTTTAATTAAATTTTCAGGACATATTCACAAATAAGTTAAATTATTTTTGAATTTTTTTTAAAGAAAATATGGTAAAAATACTTTTTTTTTGCATCTTTTACGCCCTCTTAATTAATTCAAATTCAACCCTCTTCATATTTATATTAGGTAAAAGCAGGACTCCTAAGAGAATTGAAATCATCAATTTGTTTTTGTCAAACAGAAACACCATTTACTCCAAATATACCACGAATCGTAAAATACAATAATGCAATAAAATATGATATTATTTAATTAAAAATGTTTTAATTGCTTTTATAAATAAGATATATTAAGGACACTATTGTTTTAAGAAAATGTTTTTTTTGGCTGAATAATTAATTTCTACAAGAATTGTTTTCATTTTTAAAAAAATTTAATTAGAATAATTTGTTAAATTTTAAATCTTTTAAAATTCTGTATTATTTTAGAATGATATTATTATTAAGTAAAAACTTGGACTGAAAGACGTCTAAAAATGATGCTAATCAGATATTTTACCACCCACACAAGAAAAACACCTTCTAGGCAATTTAAATTAGTTTTTAAAATGAAGCAAAATATTTTATTAAATTTAATCTATTAGCTTGAAAATAGATCTAAAATAAAAGATTCAAGAAAGATTTTTCATTTTTTAAGATTCATTTTAAAATTTAGTTATCTCGTTTTGTGTAGAGATACCTACTATCAAGTAAACCCTTGGAAAAAGAGATGTTTATTATATATATATATATATATATATATATATATATATATATATATATATATATATACAGGGTGCGGCTGGTATTTGAGGACAGATTTTATGGATTAGTAAAAAAAACTTGCTGAACAAATGGATATCATTATATTTGATTACAAACAAGTAAACATGAAATTTAGCTAACTGTTATTTAATTTTAATTCATAAAACCACCACTAACATCAATAATTGCCTCTACACGAGGTCGAAATTGGCTGCAAGCTCTGATTAATTGGTCCTTATTTATGTAAGACATTCCTCGAACTATTGCAGCTTTAAGGGAGTCTTTGGTGTTATGAGGCTGTTTATTAACCTCCTCCTCAACAACGTTCCACACATAATAGTCTAGTGGATTAAGATCTGGAGAGTTAGGAGACCAAATGTTGGGTGTGAAATGGTCGTACAAATGGTCAGCCATCCATTCCTGTGTTCGTAGAGTCTTGTGGGATGGAACCGAGTCTTGCTGAAATATGTAAGGCCTGCCGTTGCATATGTTGTCAATCTAGTGGCTGACAACTGTTTCTAGAACCTCAATATAAACCGGAGCATTTACTCTAAGACCTTGTGAGAAAAAGTGTGCTGGCATGACATGTCGTTCATTGCTATCAACACCTAATACCATAACATTTGAAGGAAATTTTGTGCGCATCACTCTTGGCACCTCAGAAGGATCTGAACAAAGTCATCTGTCATTTCTTCTGTTAAGTTTTTAATACTGATCAAAATTTTTCTCATCTGAGAAAAACCAAGTCACACCAGCTTCTGAAGGATTTTTAAGTTTGTTTAAAAGCCTTTTGGATCTGTTTAAACGGTTTTCTTTTGTTTTCTTTCAGACATAAATTGGCCTCTCTTCATCACGTAGGACTTGTATCAAATGTCTTCATGAACACTCCTTTTGATTGATTTTGCAGATGCATGCAGCTTTTTGGTAATTGACCCCATTGATTGACCTCGGTTTTCATCAATTGTCTGCTTGATTTCCTGAATAAATTCAGATGTTCTCACTTTATCAGAACGTGTAGAATGTCTTTTACGTTTTGATACAGGCATTAGGGAACTGTCAGCGTCTTCTAACTCTTTTCGTATCTTGTGAACAAACGATCTTGCAACTCTGAGGAAACGTGCAATATCCAAAATCGCTATGATCAGCCTTTAATGCCACAATCACTGCAGCATGCTTTTTCATTTCATTTGTTATCATAAGGTTTGCCATTCTTGATTTCTGAAAAGTAAAAGCATTAGAAGTTAGTGGGAAGCAATATTAATCTTAAATCTGCATGTCCTCAAATACCAGCCGCACCCTGTATCTATCTATCTATCTATCTATCTATCTATCTATCTATCTATCTATCTATCTGTATATGTATGTATATATATATATATATATATATATATATATATATATATATATATATATAGTTGGATGTAGATAGATAAACAGATAGATATGTTTCCTATGTTATCTGGAATAGAGCGTTCCCATGAACGGGAATGGACAACTCAACACCGCCGACCTAACACCACCGACTATGCACCAGGGCAATTCCGGTCTGAAACAATTCATGACCAAGACAATTCAACACCAGAAAATTATATTTTTTTTTATAACTAAATAAAAGTAATTTATTAAGGAGTAAAACCTTAATTGGGGTATATTTTTAAATTATTTTTAATAAAGTAAATATAAAGACATTAATTTTTCAGGTTCTAATCTTTAATAACTTTAATTTTTTTTTTCGAATATAAAAAGAAAAAAGTTATATTTTCTTGTGTTGTCCCGGCGCTCAATCGGCGATGTTGAATTGACGGTGATGAATTGTCCTACCCTCCCCCACATCATGAAAATTTTGCTTAAATGGAAGAGATATAAATCAATGTCATTAATTTATAAGTTACTTTTTCAGCATTCTCCGATGTGAGAAACAAACTTCTGTGAGATTTTAGCTACGATTGACAGTGCTGTAATGATTGCAAAAAATCGTGATTTGAATTTTGAAATGATGCGCACAAGTTAACGGCCATTTTGTAGAGTGACTTGAGTCATTATAATAAATCATACGATTGAAAGACGCGGGTTTCTACCGAATGGCGCTTACAATTTATCACACTTTATCAAGCCGATGAAGTAGAATCTATTGAAAATAATTTTAAACTCGTCCATTATTCCAATTATTTGCTCTGTTTTGTAACGTTGTTTATGTTATTTTAATTATTTCTCTAGAAAGTTTCTTATTCATTACTCCAAACTAGAAATAACATCACCATAATCGGGTTCAGAAACCAAGCTTATCAAAATGTTCGGAACAAAATCTTCATTGGTTAGGAATATTTTCGTTCTGTGGAAAGGGTCAGAAGGCCATCATTTTTTTCATATAAATTTCCATAAACACTTAAAACAAAATATTCTGGGTTTATATTCTATACTGTGTTCTCATTTCCTAATTGAAGGACCTATAAGAAAACACCTTCCAGGTAATCACTTTAAGAATATTTAATTGTAAAAAAATCTTTTAAGCATAATTGATACACTCTTTATAAACATTGATGGACCTATACTTTGACACCAGTCGGGTCGTAGTGGTAGTGTTTTGAACCTGCAGCAAGTCAGCGAAAAAAGAAATGATTACTATATCTATATAAGAATTGGGTGGAAACCTCCTGGAAAGTTATTATTACGAGAAAGTTCTACACCATTATAGTTCTCATAAAAACTGTAAGAAAAGTGAATTGAAATTTTAAAAATTGTCCTTGTAGATCACATTAAATGGTACATGTAGCAAAGAAGAATTAATGCCCAAAATATATATATATATATATATATATATATATATATATATATATATATATATATAAAAGGCATAAACACTAATATTCCATGCTTATAACTTATTACACTGGAATCGTAATCACGATCCAATTCATCAGACCTACAAATTCAAAAGGAAAGTGAACATTGAAGTCAACACTTAGAGGCGACAATCGTTGGTGGCCTAATGATTGCGCTCAGCATGAAACAGACTATTGCCGCTAAGTGTTGACTTCAATGTTCACTTTTATATTTACACACGCTCTATCTCTGATATTGAGCACTTTATCCCATAAATATAGCACACCTTAAGACTATATTTCATTACACACACACACACACACACACACACACACACACACACACACACACACACACACACATATATATATATATATATATATATATATATATATATATATATATAATTAATGAAAAACAGGCACTTTAAGGTACCATTACAGTAATTTATTGAGCTCTCAGGATTTCATGCTCCTTGGATTTACCAATTCGGTTTACCAAGTTCTTCATAACTTAACTATATATATATATATATATATATATATATATATATATATATATATATATATATATATAATCGATCGTGTGTGTGTCTATGCGTCATTTTTACTTCGACAATGTTCTTGTGGAGAATATTGTGTTTTCAGTACCACACGCGGTCGAACACACATACACACACGGCCGATCGCGCACACATACACACACGGCCGAGCGCACACACATACACACACGGCCGAGCGCACACACATACACACACACAATTGCGCGCACACACATTGAAATACAGATTTTTCGAAATAGGTCGGGATGAGAACATTTCATTATCCTATTATATTTAAGATTTCATATCTTATTTTTGGAGATTTTCTTTTACAAACCTCGACAGTTGTATATGTCATAAATGATTATTTTCTATTAGAATGGTAATATATTCAAATTAGGATCAAAGCAAGTTCAATTATTGCAATTATTTAGCTCAATATTTGCAATTTTAAAGGCAACTAGCTACAGAAAAATACCACACAACAATAAATTTCCATTCCGATGTAAATTAATTTAGAAAATGTTCAATGTGAAGAAGTCGTGTTTTTGAATCGCCTTTTCCTGTTATATAACATGCACCTAAAAGATGCCGATTAAAATTTAGGAAAAACTGAAATTATTTAATTGATGATTCATTAATTCATTCATAATCATAATTTAATCATTTATAATCTATAATCTGTTAGTTATCCGTGTGCCTAGGAGAGTTCTTAAATCTATAAAAGGTGCGTAAAAACGTGTATGTCATTAATCTTTATCCTTTTGATGCCATTCATTTACTCCCACGTATATACATAGATAAAGAAACCTTTTCAAAATTGGATAACCTGCAACAATAATGTATGCCATATTAGCAAAAACATCGGGTTTTTTCGGTGAAAGATCTAAGAGCAAACATAAGCATGAGAAATGAAGCAAGGCGATAATGCCACTAAGACGCAAGTGATTACTGGGAGTGAAAGAGAATACGAAGACTTTAATGAGGAGAAAGGACAATAAAAGAACAGGGATCGGGAAGACAGAAGATAGCGTTGCATTTAACATTTTTGATGTAGGGAAGCAAGAATACGAAAGGGAGGCGAAACGTGCAAGAAAATAAAATATTAGACTAGAACATACGGTTACATACGGTATTTCAACCTTAGAAGGTTGACAGCGAGTTGCCAATCTAATAAGATTCGTAAATTCATGTAGTCAAAGCATCAAGGAAGTAAGAACATCAGAAAAAATTGCCATGAAAATATTTACGGAAAAAATTGAAGGAGACGACGTGACGTCGGTGAGAAAGTGACTGAAATCGAGATGTCAGGCAAGGATCGATTACATTACAGACCATTCTTTGAATTTTATTGAGAATCTCGAGATATATAGCAAGAACACCAGACCAGAAATGTCACCAGTATTCAATGCATCGTCGAATGATAGATTTAGAAATATGTAAGATGAATTCTGACGAGAGAAATTGTCTAGTACGACATAGTGATCCACATTTCATAGCAAGTAGACTTAGCAATTGGCTCAATATAATCACTTCATTTCATGAAAAATGTGAGCCCAAGAAGGCACAGTGATTTTTTTCTTCTTCTGGGGGTTAGGCATCAGCTGTTATGATGTAAGACAGAGCAGGTTTTCTATGTAGATTTGTTTTGGAGGTGTTAAGATTTACAAGTCTTTCCTTGCCCCAGTTAACCACTGATTAGAGGACATTTTCGAGAACCACTATAATTTTACTTTTTCGGACACTATCTGACTTTACTATTAAGACGAGAGTAAATATTCTTGTCACCAGAACAGATTTTCTATGTAGATTTGTTTTGGAGGTGTTAATATTTACAAGTCTTTCCTTGCCCCAGTTAACAAGTGATTAGAGGTCATGTTCGAGAACAACTGTTAATTTCACTTTTTCGGACAATATCTGATTTTACAATTAAGAAAAGAGCAAATATTCTTGTCACCAGAATAAACACCTAATTGGAAAGTGATAACATTAGAAGATTCTTGATGAAGATAAGGAACCATGTAGCTCCAAGAATAGACCACGAGGGACCCCCCTCCACACATTAAAGTGAAAAGATCTAAAAGCATGGCCGTTCAACAGAATCTTTCTTAACCGATTTGTTAAGAATATTCGACCATAGACCTTGAACTTTTGGAGAAAGCTAATCTGCCAAACCCTGTCAAACGACTTTGAGATATCTAAAGCCACAGCCTGAGCCTCGCCATTCTTATCTAATTTCATTTTTTTCGGACACTATCTAACTTACTAATAAGAAAAGAGTAAACAGTTGTAAGGATATAGATATATAAGAATAGATACTAAGTTCAGAAATGATGACATCGTGAAGGTCATTCATAAAAATTAGGAACAAAGTTGGTTCAAGAGTAAACCCAAATTTGAAACACTTGATTAAAATAACTATTTCTGATATCTGGCTTGGCTAAAGAAATGTCAAAAGACATTGAATGTCATAAAAAAAAAGAAAGAAAAAATAAATTCCAGTAAAAAGCAAAAATACCGCAAGATAAGAAATAAATATATTTGTGTGTCCTAGTATCCATTCAGGGATTGTAATGATCAAGAGCCTGTTCAGTGACCATGATGTAGGCGCGAAAGGGCTATAACCGTTCAGTGACCATGATGTAGGCGCGTGAGTGGTAGAATAGTTCAGAGACCATGGAGTAGGCGCGCGAGTGCTAGAAACGTTCAGTTACCATAATGTAGGCGCGCAAGGGTTAGAACCGTTCAGTGTACATGATGTAGGCGCGTGAGGGCGAGAACCGTTCAGTGACAATGATGTAGGCGGGAAAGGGGTAGAACGGTTCAGCGACCATGATGTACGCAAGCAAGGTCTAGAACCGGTCAGTGTCCATGATGTAGGCCTGTGAGAGCTAAAACCGTTCAGTGACCATGATGTAGGCGCGCGAGGGCTAGAAACATTCACTGATCATGATGTAGGCGCGTGAGGGCTAGAACCGTTCAGTGACCATGATGTAGGCGCGTAAGGGCTAGAACCGTTCAGTGTCCATGATGTATGCTCTCGAGGGCTAGAACCGTTCAATGACAATGATGTAGGCGCGAAATGACTAGAATTGTTCAGTGACCATGATGTAAGCGCGTGTGTGCTAGAATCGTTCAGTGACCTTGGTGTAGGCGCACGAGTGCTAGAACCGTATAGTGACCATGATATAGGCGCACAAGGGTTAGAACGGTTCAGTGATAATGATGTAGACGCACGAGGGCTAGAACCGTTCAGTGACAATGATGTAGGCGCGCGAGTGCAAAGAACCGTTCAGTGTCCATGATGTAGGCGCGTGATTTCTAGAACCGTTAAGAGACCATGATGTAGGCGCGTGACTGCTAGAACCGTTCAGAGACCATGATGCAGGCGCGTGATTGCGAGAACCGTTTATAGACCATGATGTAGGCGCGCTAGTGCAAAGAACCGTTCTGTGACAATGATGTAGGCGGGAAAGGGGTAGAACGGTTCAGCGACCATGATGTACGCAAGCAAGGTCTAGAACAGTTCGCTATCCATGATGTAGGCCTGTGAGGGCTAGAATCGTTCAATGAAAATGATGTAGGCGCAAAATGGCTAGAATCGTTCAGTGACCATGATGTAAGCGCGTGTGTGCTAGAACGGTTCAGTGACCATGGTGTATGCGCACGAGTGCTAGAACCGTATAGTGACCATGATATAGGCGCGCAAGTGTTAGAACCGTTCAGTGACAATAATGTAGGCGCGCGAGTGCAAAGAGCGTTCAGTGACCATGATGTAGGCGCGCGAGGGCTAGAACCGTCCAGAGACCATGATGTAGGTGCGCGAGTGCAATGAACAGTTCAGTGACCATGATGTAGGCCTGTGAGGGCTAAAACAGTTAAGTGACTATGATGTAGGCGCGCGAGGTCTAAAACCGTTCAGTGACCATGTTGTAGGCCTGTGAGGGATAAAACAGTTCAGTGACCATGATGTAGGAGCGTGAGGGCTAGAACAGTTCAGTGACAATGATGTAGGCGCGTAAGAGCTAGAACCGTTCATTGTCCATGATGTAGGTGCGCGAGGGCTAGATCCGTTCAATGACAATGATGAAGGGGCGAAAGGGCTAGAATATTTCAGTGACCATGATGTAAGCGCGTGTGGGCTAGAACAGTTCAGTGACAATGATGTAGGCGCGTAAGAGCTAGAACCGTTCATTGTCCATGATGTAGGTGCGCGAGGGCTAGATCCGTTCAATGACAATGATGTAGGGGAGAAAGGGCTAGAATATTTCATTGACCATGATGTAAGCGCGTGTGGGCTAGAACCGTTCAGTGACCATGGTATAGGCGCACGAGTGCTAGAACCGTATAGTGACCATGATATAGGCGCGCAAGGGCTAGAACCGTTCAGTGATAATGATGTAGACGCACGTGGGCTAGAACCGTTCAGCGACAATGATGTAGTCGCGGGAGTGCAAAGAACCGTTCAGTGGCCATGATGTAGGCTCTCGAGGGCTAGAAACGTTAAGAGACCATGATGTAGGCGCGTGATTGCTAGAACTGTTCAGAGACAATGATGCTGGCGCGAGAGGGTAAAGAACCGTTCTGTGACGATGATGTAGGCGCGCGAGTGCAAAGAACAGTTCAGTGACCATGATGTAGGCGGGAAAAAGAGTATAACGGTTCAGCGACCATGATGTACGCAAGCAAGGTCTAGAGACGTTCAGTGCCCATGATGTAGGCCTGTGAGGGCTAAAACCGTTCAGTGACCATGATGTAGGCGCGCGAGGGCTAGAAACGTTCACTGACTATGATGTAGGCGCGTGAGGGCTTGAACAGTTCAGTGACAATGATGTAGGCGCGTAAGGGCTACAACCGTTCATTGTACATGATGTAGGTGCGCGAGGGCTAGAACCGTTCAATGACAATGATGTAGGCGCGAAAGGGCTAGAATCGGTCAGTGACCATGATGTCAGCGCGTGTGTGCTAGAACCGTTCAGTGACCATGGTGTAGGCGCACGATTGCTAGAACCGTATAGTGACCATGATATAGGTGCGCAAGGGTTAGAACCGTTCAGTGATAATGATGTAGACGCACGAGGGCTAGAACCGTTCAATGACAATGATGTGGGCGCGCGATGGCTTGAATCGTTCTGTGAACATGATGTAGGCGCGCGAGGGCTAGAACCGTTCAGTGACAATGATGTAGGCGCGCGAGGGCTAGAACCGTTCAGTGACCATGATGTAGGCGCGTGAGGGCTAGAATCGTTCAGTGACCATGATGTAAGCGCGTGTGTGCTAGAACAGTTCAGTGAACATGGTGTAGGCGCACGAGGGCTAGAACCGTTCAGTGACAATGATGTAGACGCACGAGGGCTAGAACCGTTCAGTGACAATGATGTAGGCGCGCGAGTGCAAAGAACCGTTCAGTGACCATGATGTAGGCGCGTGATTGCTAGAACCGTTAAGAGACCATAATGTAGGCGCGTGAATGAAAAGAACCGTTTATAGACCATGATGTAGGCGCGCGAGTGCAAAGAACCGTTCAGTGACAATGATGTAGGCGGGAAAGGGGTAGAACGGTTCAGCGACCATGATGTACGCAAGCAAGGTCTAGAACCGTTCAGTGACCATGATGTAGGCCTGTGAGGGCTAAAACAGTTAAGTGAGCATGATGTAGGCGCGCGGGGTCTAAAACCGTTCAGTGACCATGATGTAGGCCTGTGATGGCTAAAACAGTTCAGTGACAATGATGTAGGCGCGTAAGGGTTAGAACCGTTCATTGTCCATGATGTAGGTGCGCGAGGGCTAGAACCGTTCAATGACAATGATGTTGGGGCGAAAGGGCTAGAATATTTCAGTGACCATGATGTAAAGCGCGTGTGGGCTAGAACCGTTCAGTGACAATGATGTAGGCGCGCAAGGGTTAGAACCGTTCAGTGACAATGATGTAGACGCACGAGGGCTCGGACCGTTCAGTGACAATGATGTAGGCGCGCGAGTGCAAAGAACCGTTCAGTGACCATGATGTAGGCGCGTGATTGCTAGAACCGTTAAGAGACCATGATGTAGGCGCGTGATTGCTAGAACCGTTAAGAGACCATGATGTAGGCGCGTGAATGAAAAGAACCGTTCTGAGACCATGATGTAGGCGCGCGAGTGCAAAGAACCGTTCAGTGACAATGATGTAGGCGCGTGTTTGCTAGAACCGTTCAGAGACCATGAACTAGGCGCGCGAGGGCAAAGAACCGTTCAGAGACCATGATGTAGGAGCGTGATTGCTAGAACCGTTCAGAGACCATGATGTAGGCACGCGAGCGCAAAGGACCGTTCTGTGACCATGATGTAGGCGCGCGATGGCTTGAATCGTACTGTGAACATGATGTAGGCGCGCGAGGGCAAATAACCGTTCAGTGACAATGATGAAGGCGCGAGGGCTAGAACCGTTAAGAGACCATGATGTAGGCGCGTGATTGCTAGAACCGTTCAGAGACAATGATGTAGGCGCGCGAGGGCAAAGAAGCGTTCTGTGACCATGATCCAGGCGCGCGAGGGCAAGAACCGTTAAGAGACCATGATGTAGGCGCGTGATTGCTAGAACCGTCAAGCGCCCATGATGTTGGCGCGCGAGGGCAAAGAACCGTTCAGTGACCGTGATGTAGGCGCGCGAGGGATAGAACCGTTAAGAGACCATGATGTTGGCGCGTGATTGCTAGAACCGTTCAGAGACCATGATGTAGGCGCGCGAGGGCAAAGAACCGTTCAGTGACCATGATGTAGGCGCCCGAGGGCTAGAACCGTTCAGAGACCATGATGTAGGCGCGTGATTGCTAGAACCGTTCAGAGACCATGATGTAGGCGCGAGAGGGCAAAGAACCGTTCTTTGACAATGATGTAGGCGCGCGACGGCTTGAATCGTTCTGTGACCATGATGTAGGCGCGCGAGGGCAAAGAACCGTTCAGTGACAATGATGTAGGCGCGCGAGGGCTAGAACCGTTAAGAGACCATGATGTAGGCGCGTGATTGCTAGAACCGTTCAGAGACCATGATGTAGGCGCGTGAGGGCAAAGAAGCGTTCTGTGACCATGATGCAGGCGCGAGGGCTGGGAACCGTTAAGAGACCATGATGTAGGCGCGTGATTGCTAGAATCGTTCAGAGACCATGATGTAGTCGCGCGAGGGCAAAGAACCGTTCAGTGACAAAGATGTAGGCGCGCGAGTGCTAGAACCGTTAAGAGACCATGATGTAGGCTCGGGTTTGCTAGAACCGTTCAGAGACCATGATGTAGGCGCGCGAGGGCTAGAACCGTTAAGAGACCATGATGTAGGCGCGTGATTGCTGGAACCGTTCAGAGACCATGATGTAGGCGCGCGAGGGTAAAAAACCGTTCTGTGACCATGATGTAGTCGCGCGAGTGCAAAGAACCGTTCAGTGACCATGATGTAGGCGCGTGATTGCTAGAACCGTTCAGTGACAATGATGTAGTCGGGAAAGGGGTAGAACGGTTCAGCGACCATGATGTACGCAAGCAAGGTATAGAACCGTTCAGTGTCCATGATGTAGTCCTGTGAGGTCTAAAACCGTTCTGTGACAATGATGTAGGCGCGCGAGGGCTAGAACCGTTCAGTGACCACGATGGAGGCGTGAAAGGGCTAGAACCGTTTAGTGACAATTATGTAGGCCCGCGAGTTGCTAGAACCGTTAAGTGACAATGATGTAGGCGCGTGAGGGCTATTACCGTTTAGTGACAATTATGTAGGCGCGCGAGTGCTAGAACCGTTCATTGACAATGATGTAGTCGCGTGAGGGCTATAACCGTTTAGTGACAATTATGTAGGCGTGCGAGTGCTAGAACCGTTCAGTGACAATGATGTAGGCGCGTAAGGGCTAGAACCGTTCAGTAATAATGATGTAGACGCACGAGGGCTAGAACCGTTCAGTGACAATGATGTAGGCGCGCGATGGCTTGAATCGTTCTGTGACCATGATGTAGGCGCGCGAGGGCTAGAACCGTTCAGTGACAATGATGTAGGCGCCCGAGGGCTAGAACCGTTCAGTGACCACGATGTAGGCGTGAAAGGGCTAGAACCGTTCAGTGACAATGATGTAGGCGCGTGAGGACTAGAACCGTTTAGTGACAATTATGTAGGCGCGCGTGTGCTAGAATCGCCAGTGACAATGATGTATGTGCGCGAGTGCTAGAACCGTTCAGTGATCTTGATGATAACACGATAGAACAAGTCAGAACCTATTCAGTTGCAGGGACGCTGTCCAGAGGAAATCAATCCATTCATTGATTATTCCTTAATTACTTTTTGGTTTTATTGTTGGAGAATTAACTAATCATATTTTCCAAGAATGGATTAGAACGCCTATGCGTGCTAATGATTGCTTATTGACGAGCTGTTCTGTATGTTCGAGTAATTTTGGAAAAAATAACCTAATACAAAAAATAGCGAGACAGAATTCTATGTTGTTTTAGTTTTGAGTAGGACCGGTGTTTATTCTTGAAAATATGATTTTTCTTTCTTGAACTTCAAGATTACTTATTATGATGTTGGGAAGATGTCTACCATTGGCAACACCTGAACGGATGCTGACAAAAATAAAATAAAAGCCTAAAATACTCGCCTCTCTTTCGACAGGTCTTAATGAGATTATTTGGAAAATGTCTTAAACTGAGAGCAAAGAACGAGTTGAAAAACCTTAGAAAGGAAAATCTAAATGACCATTTCTAATTTTATTAAGCGTTTTGGAAAGCTACAGCTGCAAACGAAGGTGTTAGGTTGTGATTTCAGTTCTGTTACATTTGATTGTCTTAGTAAATATCAAATAATCAGTAAAGGAAAATGAGTAAGTGATATATATATATATATATATATATATATATATATATATATATATATATATATATATATATATATATATATATAGAGAGAGAGAGAGAGAGAGAGAGAGAGGGAGGGATGGAGGGAGAGGGAGAGAGAGGGAGAGAACGAGACTCTTCAATTTTTTTTCGCCTCATCTGTGGCCAGATATTGAACTCACAACTCTTTGGGTCAAGTCATTGGATTCAATCAACCCTTTTATCTCCTGGGATTTTATATTTATTTTTTTTAATTAATTTTTGGCTATTATGCAATTTAGAAATTATCACATTTGCTGTAAGGTCATTTGATTAGTTATTGTTAAATATTAGGTTTATGGAGCAACACTATAATTTATTCTTCAAAATAAAGTCCATCATTATCGACGATCTTCTGCCAGTGATCAACCAGCATCCAAATCTGTCCGAGATTAAAGTTTGTTGGCCTTGAATAATAATAATAATAATAATAATAATAATAATAATAATAATAAAAATCTGTGAACAAGCTTCCTTCATTTCATCAAAATTGTTGACTCACTTGACGTGGAGGAAATGTTCTATTGAGCGAAATAAGCCATAGTCACTCGGAGCAACATCGGGACTGAACGGTGGATGTGGAAGAATCTCAACACCGTCCATCTGTTTGAATCTCTCCTCAGTCAACATGGCAGTGTGGGGACTTGCATTGTCTTGCTGAAATAAAGCCCGACTTCGACTTACCAAAGCAGGATACTCCCTCTTTAGTTTGCTATACACGTGGGCTGGTTATTAGCAATACAGCTTAGCGTTGATGGCCCGAGCGCGTGGAACAAGCTCGAAATGCAATATTCTTTAGAAATTCCAGCAGACAGAGATCAAGATTTGTTGTTTTCTTTCCGCTTCCAAAGAGAGTCAAGACTTTGTGGCTAACCTAATATTATCAAATATAATTAAAAAATGCGTAAAACTTTTATGCTTTTCTTCTCGACACTATCTAACTTTTTAACAGTTACTTGTATTTTCATTCATATAACATTAAAAATAAATGAAACAAAAATAAAAATCAACTTTCAAACCAACAAAAAAGGCAAATAACAGTATGCTTTCACTCGCGATACTATCGTCAAATAAATCAATCAATATTAAAATATCCGAGCAAGTGTTTATTTTTATTTTAATATTGTTTGTTTCTTAATTTTTGTAAATGACAACCAAATGCCCTTCTCACAACAACCACGAAAATTTGGAATAATAATTTAACGAGATCGTCAAATTTTTAAACTCTAAACTTAATAAAGTTTTCCATTTAAAAATTTAATCTAAAAACTTAGCCCCAGTTTTCTATTTACTTAATAATAATAATAATAATAATAATAATAATAATAATAATAATTAATCCTAACCCTAACCCTGCAATGTATCTTTGAAGATCTTCAAAAAGCTGTCAAAATACAAGGATCTTGTAATCGAAATCTCAAAAATGTGGCACATGGGAATATCAACAATCCTCGTTGTAGTTGGAGCCCTCGGATTGGTTGGAAAAGATTCCAGTAGACTAATTGAAGGGATCCCTGGAAGCCCATGCCTTAAAGAAATATAAAAAATTGTTCTCATGAGTATAGCCCACATCTTAAGAGGGGCTTTGTTTATGTAAACATTTTTTTGCAATGGAAAACGTATTAATAGACTTTCACATTTCAGTCTTCACTTCATAATTATGGACTCGATACTAGAATTTATTTGTTCGTAAAAGAGGAATGATCTATTTTATGAAAGAGTTACAGATCCTATTTAGACTTCGTATAAGAGAGATTGTCACGCAACCACAAATAAAGAGAGAGAATAACATATCTTATTAGACACCGACTTTTGAATGTTGCACTGATTGTGAGCAGTTTTCATGCTTGTCATATGCATCACAAGACCTTGAAAGTTCATAGTCAATTTCCACACTAAGAATATTAAATCTGGATAGAGTACTGCCTAGTTAAAAATGAAAATTGTTATCTGTGTATAGAAATATTGGAAATAAAATTACAAAAAGTCTAGATGCTGAGAAGTCTCGCTCTTCAAATCAGCTTCGACTGAAATGGGATTATAAGCGGAAAGGGATAAATTATTTATTCATGATTTCTAAGGGGAGTGGGCCTAATTATTTATTTATGATTTATGAGGGTAGAGGAATGAATGATTTATTCATGATTTCTAAGGGGAGAGGGATGAATGATTTTTTCATGATTTTTAAGGGGAGAGGGATGAATGATTTTTTTCATGATTTTTAAGGGGAGAGGGATGAATGATTTATTCATAATTTATAAGGGGAGAGGGATGAATGATTTATTCATAATTTATAAGGGGAAAGGGTTGAATTATTTATAAGGGGAGAGGGATGAATGATTTATTCATGATTTATATGGGGACAGGGATGAATGATTTACAATCATGTGACATTTGAATTCTGCAACAGACTTAAAAATTTTGTCACAAAACCCACACAAATAACCTGCAGGTCTTTCTGGTAGGGTTTCATTCACAGGAGTTTGCACCTGATATCTCTTGTGTGATCTCATGTGATTAGCAATATCAACTGCTGAGAGGCTGACTTTTCCATAAATACTGCAAGTGTGTTTGTGTCGTAATTGTTGTGGAACAGATTCTATTTCTCCCTCCCTAAAGGCACACTTTTTGTTGGAATGCTCAATTCTCTTCTGCTCAAAATTGCTACACCATTCCCAAATCATCCTTCTCCAGCCAGATTCTATCTCTAACAACAAATCCCAAGTTTTATGTCAAGCTTTCATTCTTCGCCATGGCTCTTGTAGACAGATATCTGCACATGTAGATGGCAATGCTATATGCTTGTGCTACACATATCACATCATCTCCATCCCTTTAATCAATGACAAGTCGAAGCAAATTAACTGAACGAATAAAGAAATCTCATCTTTTATTTTAATGGAATTTGACATCTCTGGATATACATATACATACATACATACATTTTTACACAGAAGTATTCGACCTCCTCGATTATTGTCCTTATTTTTCAGCTTAATTATTCCGAATTTGATATTTTCCTACGAAATTAACATTAGTAAAATCAATTAATAAGTGAATTAATTAAAAATAAAATGGAATTATTATTTTATTTCTATAATTATCAATACTTTATTATAAAAAAAAAATTGGCCATGCGTATTCTTTGCCAATAGACAGACGTTTTCTTTAAAGCTTCTGCATCATACATTTGGTGTTTTTGACCTTTCCTCTATGCCTAATCATGGCACATCTTTCCATTTATGAAACGTCCTGTGTATGACGATAAACGACATCTGGCAGTAAGGCCTCTGATTAGGACGTTTTCAGAATCGTGGAACCAGCTCTTAATTGATGTTGTTCCCAGGTCCACCCTGACCCGGGATGGTAGCATCTGTTAAGGTCCCCTAGTGAACCCCCAAAATATATTGAAGGTGTCAGCAATATCTTTTCATAGTAAAAAAATACTAGGAATACATTTTTATAAAAAATATTACATGGAATACATTTTAGTAAAGGAAAAAATATTACCAGAAACACATTTTTGTATAAAAT